ATATATATATATATATATAAAATCTGTGATGATAAAAGTTATGTTCAAGCTGTGAACAAGAAAAATCCTCCGTGGAAAATCTGATCTAAAACTACGGCAACCACACACTCATTACTCATTACCAGGTGAATACTCCCACCAACAAATTACCTAACAGGCAGTGGCTTTTAATATTTTCATTCCCATTGATCACTGATTCATCACATCATCTATTCCTTTATGCTCACATCTAGCAGAGCATCCTACACAGTATAGGTTTGATCACTGAAGTTGTGACCTATCATTAAGTAAGACAGAGCAGAAGACACATGAAGGCGGAGGGTCTGCAGCACGACATGCTGGGAGTGAGGGAGTAATTAGCAGACAGGCAGTAATTGTGTTTCAACAGCAGAGCAGGAAGCTGAGAGACAGTGCCGTTTACAGCTACCGGGGATTGTTCCATGACTCGGTCCACACTTGTCACATTCTCTCACCCTCATCTCCTCTGGATCACTGCTCTGTCTGCAGCCAGACTGCTATGAAACGCCATCAATACCCCCAGTCTCTGCATAGCACCAGCGTCTTTGATGTAAAGAGAGAGACGGTGCAAGTCTATGTCCTTATTGTGCTCTTATTACGCTGGTTTACAACTGTGGGCGTCCAGACACATGAACAACATGAAAGCTAAAGCTGCTTGAAAACAAAACACAACAAACAGCTTCAGGAAACAAGTAAAGGACCGATTAATGGCTCTACTTTAGCCTATATGTGACCAAACAGGTATTAATTTTAGGAAGGGAAAAATGAGAATCTTCACCAGCATACAAAGGAAAAGCAAAACATGACGAGACATTCAAAACCTAGAAACATATTTTTGAAAACCATTTACTACACATTAATCTATTAATTTATTTTATTGGATTTATGGGTTATTTTAAAAATATATACATCATTTTAAAACCTGCATTTTGTTTCAAAACACCCATAGGGTTTTCCCCACAAAAAAAAAAAAAAAAACTTGACTCATGCAAAACATTTGTCAGCTTCTCAGAAAGAAATACTAGAGATTTAAGGGACATATTTGGACAAATATGTACCGGTACTTTCAAGCACATATTTGGGTCTAAGAAGGTGCAGAGGTGACCACAACTCACACATGCACAAAAAAACCCATTTCAAACCCCCCCAACCCTGACGTTTTGTTTTGTGCCTCTTGAATTAGAATAGTTTCATTTCAGTGAGTCGTAAACTTTTTGGATTTTACATCAGACTTTATAGCACAAATATCCAGCCTCACCATCTTTTTATTATCAACCAACTTTCTCAGAAGTGGGATTTTAAAAGCACTGAATTTTGCTTTTAAAAACTGAATCTTACCTTTAAATTAGTTTTTAAAGTTACATACTTAATTCTAACAAAGTTAAAAAGGCCTTATTGATACAATAATCCAATGTTTTACAGTGAATTGGAGAATTTAACTTCACGCTTCCAGCATGCATTTATAATGTCTGATCAGCTATCAAAGCAGATTTTCATTCACATTTCATCTCCTCGTTGTTACGGCTTTAGCTCACACCACCATACTCCCTCTCAGTTTACCGTCAGCTCGAATGGTGCCTGAGAGAGATGGTGCATTCTTTGCCCGTTAGTTCAGCTCACCTGGAATGCAGGCAGCTCACCGATCCTATCTCATTCTTAGCAAGCAGGGAGAGACACAGTTAAGAAGCAAAAAAATAAAAATGAAATCTTTTCATCTCACCGTGCACAGAAACCACAAGACACTTATCCTGTCTCACAGCGCCAACAGGTGATGAGGATGAGCAAACAGATAAGTTAGAGGTCAAAGGTTAGAGAGAGGTAAGACCACGACTCAGAAACGTTGGTTACGTACTGTAACCCCAGATTCTATGAATATAGGCGTAGCCCTTTAAGGCTGTCGCTGATGGTTTATCCCGTTATGCGCAGCATAAGCACTGAAAAAAATTAGTCCACGCCCACCTGCTGTGTGGGCCCCACCCGGTCCGTATAAATTACGTTAAGAGCGGGAAATCGGCTCCCAAAATAGCTTTTTTCTTCAGCCATTTAGGAGCCAGTGAGGCCCGACGCTTAAAGGGCTACGCCTATATTCATAGAATCTGGGGTTACAGTACGTAACCAACGTTCTATTTCATATAGGCTTCGCCCTTTAAGGCTGTCGCTGATGGTTTAAGGGCGAAGCGGATGTGGTCCTCGCCTCACTGGGTCCATTCGAACACAGTAAGAAGCGGAAGCTTGCCCAAAAAGCGTCTTGTCACTCAGCTCCCCGTGTGCATAAACTACGCATCGCGTAATTATGTGCCATGCACAGACGCATGTTGTGTAACTATGCGTTCTGACAAACATGAATACCCCGGAAAAACTTTCAACGGGAAGAGGAAGTTAAAAGAGGGGGGGGAGGGGGGCATGAACCAACTGGTTCATGGCTGAACAGTATAAACAGATTAATGTCCATGAATTGATCAATAATCAAATGAACTGATTGTTAACAATAATCATGAACTGATTAGTGATAATAGAACCAGAACACAGACACGACTGTGACTGAAAACAACATCTCACACTGTAATGCATGCAGACAGAAGTGAGCTTAAACAGAGTTCCATGAGAGCAACAATATTCATTCTGTTAGGGCACTAAGGACAGAATGTGTCATGGAACGAGCCGTTACATCACGTAGGTAAAAGCGAATAAATGAGCAGGGTGTTGACCATGCAGCCGCAGTGCAAATGTCCTGCATTGACATACCATTATGCAGAGCAGTCGAAGATGCGATACCCCTGGTCGAGTGTGCTTAGAGGTTGACAGGAGGCCCTAAATCTGATGCTCTGTAGGCTTCAGAAAAAGGCCTCACACAGCCAGTGTGACAAGCGCTGGATGGATAACGGCGACCTGCAGAAGCATCTCTATAATGCACAAACAATTGTTGAATTTGAACGCATTGCAGCTGTGCGCGTTACGTAACACGTCAACGCCTGCACCGGGCAGAGAAGATGAACAGATGCTTCCCCTTCTGATCTGTGGGGGGGAAAAGACCCCTCCAACGACATCACTCTTGATTTAAAAGAGCTCGTGATGTTTTAGGCATAAAAGCTGGGTTGGTCTTAAAACAGCTGAGCTGCCCGTCAGCCTAATTCTAAGGCATGACGAAACAACAGAGAGGGCAGATAATTACTTACCCTCTTAGCGGGTGTTAAAACCAGCAGCAGGACTGTTTAAAGAGACAAGAATTTAAATGAAAACTGATCCAGAGGCTCAATTGAAGCTTTGATCAGGGCTCGCAGGACCAGCGTTAAATCCCACTGTGGAACAAGTGGGCATGAAAACAGGCCTACATCTCTGTACACCTTTTAGAAACCGCTTCATCAGCGGGTGATTAAAAGCTGTTCTGTCTCCAAACCCTTTGTGGCAGGAAGAGATGGCTGCAACGTACGTTAAAGCGTACTGAAAGCCAACTCCCTATCCATCAGGTGTTGTAGAAAAAACAACACGCTGCCTAAAAAGCATGAAGTGGTCTCTAAACCTTCTCTGTACACCAGCGCTGAAAAGCCGTACCCTTGATGTGTACAGAACTGTGGTAGATGCAGCACGTGAATCTTGAATTGTGCACACTATCTCCTGAGGGAGACCCATCCTCTAAGTGGGACCGCTCAGCGGTCAAACCCACCGGTGTTGACCTATTTCTGGGTAACTCTTGGTCGCTCCTCCTGCCTGAAGGAGAGCATCCTTCCTCCACGACAGTTCCACGGCGACCCCACAACAGACGTTGCAGGCCTGGGAACCATAGTGCGTTCACACGCCGGGAGCCACCAGGAGAGCTGTCAATCCCTCCTCCTGAACTCGGTTCATGGACCGTAAAAAACAGAGGAGGTGAGGGAAAAGAAACGCGTAAAAAGCGTTTTGGGCCACCGACTGTGAGCAAATGCGTCCCCCCCCAGCGATGGATCGTCTCGCGGGCTCAGGGAAAAAACCGTAGTTGACATTGCGCGTTCTTCTCGCGTCGCAAACAGGTCCACAGCTGCTGTGCCAACTTCTGCTGTGTCTGAAAAACATCAGATCCGGATGGAGGATCCGGTCCACATAACGTGGGCCGCCCTTGGACGT